CTTCTAGAAACAATGCTTGCTTTAATATACTACATAGGCCTGAACAAGGGACTAGATATGAAGATCATATATTCTCAAACTGAATATTAGGATGCATGGGGCCGACTGTGCAATCTAGGCTGTCTAGAAAATCTGTGCTCTGTGTGTCTCTTAAGGAGGCACACACACCTGTACTCTAACCCTGGCTATAATCTACTTGAAGGAGTTGCTGAGCAAGGACAGGGTGGAAAGGTGTGGAAAGGACTAGGGGGGTGTCTGTGAGTGTCTGAGCATGTCTACCTAGGGAAGAGGCTCAGGAGGGAATCTGTTCCAGAAATCATCCCCTTTGATTCATGAGTTATTTCTACATGTAGAGAGTAGATTTCCCTACAGTGAAGTATATTGAGGAAATTCTGTATAAATAGAAGCAAGATTCTGTATTCGGGTACCTTTATTGCAATCAGTTCAGGACATGGTGAGTTGAATCCATGTGATTCAATTTAGGGGATAAAATCATTTGTTCCTTGTATATACAGAAAGTGAGGGAGATTTCTACAGTTTTCCTTTATTGATTTTGCAAATTGCAAAAGAATAGCCTGCACACTTCTCTGACTTACTGATTGGTTTCTTGGATTCCTGAGCTTTGCAGAACTAGAAAAAGTTTGTTTAGGAATGCTGTTTTTCAGTACTTTATAGAGCCGCACTATCCAAAGCAGTAGCCACTAGCCATATGTAACTACTTGCATTTTAATTTTAATTTATTAATATTAAATACAGTTTTGAATTTGTTTTCTCAGTTGCAGTAGCCACATGTCAAGTGCTCAGTACCACATGTGGCTTATGACCACTGTGTTGGATTGCACAGGTATAGAACATTCTTCTCACTGCAGAAAGTTCTGTTGTACAGTATTGCCATCTGGGGTCTTGGCACCTCCGAGAGCAATAGTGACACCTATGCAGCACCTTTTTAGAGGTCAACTAGTAAGCTCTAATAGCTGCCTTTTGGCATTCGTCCCATTTCAATTAATTCAATGAAAACTAACTTAAGAGTTTCTCAAGGACCTTTGTGCCCTCATGAAAGCCAGCATTTATATACAGTCCTTTTGTGTCATGAGGGTTTGTGTAGATGCAGTAGGTTAGCATAGCAGTTGTAGGCTCCAGCTACTCAGAGCAGTAAATCTAGTATCTAAAAGGCATCTTTGATTCTAAAAACTGAAAACTATTATTCTGATATGAACAGTTGCATAAATAATAATTAAAGTGATTTTGATCCTCCTACACTGATTTTACAAAGCAGTTCTATTAATTTGATTCCAAAACGTAGAATTTATTACTTCCTCAGTTAGGCAGTGTGGCTTCTAAAGACCATCTTTATAAAGTACTTTTTCACAGACCAAAAGGATTCCTAAGATATCTATGCCATGCAATTGCTCTTAAATATTGCCATATCTACTATGCTTATAAGTCTCATTTTTAGTTTTCTTCAGAGAAGATAGCACAGCCTCCTTTATTAGTATATCCTGACTTAATGTTATAAAATTCCAGGTGTTAGACCTGTGTTTAGGTTATGCTTGAGCATCATATCTGTATAGGCTCTGTATAGGCTATGCTGACTATGATAACTTCATAGTTACAGCCAAATCATAACTTTGGCTGTAATTATATGGACAGAGATTGAAAGTTCTGATTGAATCAATGATCTCATTATCTAGGACTTAATTCTTAAAAGTAATCAACCCAAATCCTTTAACATTTCTACCTTGAAGTGATTTTCTAGTCTTTTGGTTATCTTTGTTCAGCCTCACCCTTTCCAAGTTCAAGGCTTTGAGTTCAGTGTTCTGCATCCTAATAAGGTGACCCTCTCTTGTATTTTATGTCACACTCATATTTGTATGTCCCTGTGATGGGCTCCCCTCTCCCCCCCCCCAGTATATTATACTATGACTATGTGTTACCTTGCCATTTGGGTACAAAGCCAGTTATTCTATATCTTATGTTTGTGTATTTTGTATTTAAACTTGTTAAAATGTACCTGCCCTTGTGCCTATCAAACTTCATGGTGCTTGTTTCTGAGCTCAGTTAGGGGCACCAAAAAGAGAGTATATATTGGTTTTTTTGCGGTTGTCTTCAAGTCAGTTATACCTGTGTTCAACTCTTGCGTTCCTCACTTACTAATGTTGTTGCCTTCTTAAGTGCATTTAGTAGTTTAACATAGCAGAAATCTGAGCTAACCCTTTTCTTGTTTTCTACGTCCTTAAATGAGACACAGAATCATCTAGCTGAGAGCATTCCATTTTGATGTTTGACATATGAACTATAATTATGATTAAGTTAAAAAGTAATTACTTGTAGATCTCTTTTTCTTTGAGTTTAGAATCTGCCTTCTCCTTTCTAGGTTAATTGGCTTAGAAAATTGCATCTTTAATATTAGCTATCTTAACAGCTTGTGAATAGCCTCCTTAACTCAAAATTGATATGTTTTACTCTCAAAACATACTAAAGTATACCTACTAATTTAGATAGAAAACTTCTTTATCAAGGATTTAATAAAGTAGGAAGTTTGAAGAACTACTTGTATGAGATCTGAGCTCCTTAATAACAATAGTGTAGTACAGGGTTTAGCAAACTACTGCCTGGAAACCAAATCTAGCCCACCACCCTATTTTTATATATAAAGTTTTATTGGAACACAGCATGAACATTCACGTACATATTGTCTATGGCTGCTTCACACTACAATGGCAGAGTTGAGTCATTGCCTTCAAGCCTAAAATATGTACTGTCTGGCCCTTTACAGGAAAAGATGGTTGACCGCTGGAATAGTAAAAACCCTTTAACTGGGGAGAGTAGTTAGAGGACCTCAGTTCTGCCTGCTCCTGATTCTATCTCAAAGTTGGCAGCAACCTTAACAGGTTGCTAAGCCTCTCTGAACCTGAATGAGTCTCATCAACAGAATGAGTCTCTTAGAATGAATCATCTCTAAAGTTGACGCTCAAATTCTAATAAAATTCTCTAAATCCATGAAGTATTTTGGAACCATTTTGCTGTTTTACCTAATAGCTTTGTGTTGAAAATTCAAACCACATGCAGTCACTGAGTTTAGAGAACTAAATAAACAAAACTGCTAGCCATAAGACAGATAAATTAGGAACTTGCTACTATTATTTCAAAAGAATTTACCTCTCAGGGCTCTTTTAAATAGTAGTATAAATATTTCCTAGTAGTATAAATATTTCTAGATCTTTCATTACAGTAATAGCTAGAACAGGCCTTGAGATGTAAAACTGCCATATATCAGAGGGAAAGAGGGGATGGGGGAGGTTGAAGAGGGCAAAGGGGGTCAAATATATGATGACAGAAGGAAACTAAACTTTGGGTGATGAGCATACAATGCAATATACAGATGATATATTATAATATTATACACTTGAAACTTATATAATCTTGTTAATCAATGTCACCCCAATAAATTTAATTTTAAAAAGAAACTCAATTGAATCTTCATTTGGAAATAAAAAATATAGCATCTCTAAAATTTTAATTTCAGTGTGTGGGAAACATTTGATTTGATTTGTAAAAATTCCATTCCCACCCAGGTTTTAGGGAACAATGTATAATATGTAAAGTGAAATAAGCTTCTACTGTAGAAAGAAGAACTCAGCATTCAGTACTATTTTTTTATCATGGTAGCTGACCATAAAATTCCACATAAGAACCTCTCCTGTATTAACCCTTTTTGAGAATATAAAAAGTTGCCTGGCATGTTATCATCAAGATCACTTTGCTTTTTGCTCTTTCCTTTCTGCAGTTTGTCTCTGTTTCAATTTCTATTTATAGAAAGAAACCCTAACATGACCCCCCCCCCAAAAAATGAATCTTGTGGAAATGTATTTCTATTAATGTTTTCATGTATTTAATAAATGCCTACACACATGAAAGATTTATGTTTCTTTTCAAAAAAAATCCAAGAGTTCAATATTTAAAATTTATACTTAAGACTACTTCAGTGAACTGATACTTTAGACTACCTAAATGAGTGTTTCTTCCTAGACCAACAAAAGGCTGTGCTCATGTTATATTAGTAGGGTTAGTAATGATTTGCATTTACAAAATGTTTTACAGTTTGCAAAGTATTTTCATATACATATTGACTTTTGACAGCCCTAAGTTATGTCAGTTTTAATATCCTCACTTTACAAAGGGGAAAACCCCACGAGGTTAAATGATTGACTCAAGTAGCATCATGCAGCTGGAAAGTGGCAGAGCCAAGGAACACACCCAGATATTCTGACCTACACCTAACACTCGCAGAATTAAACACTTTTACACAATAACTATTAGCGTTCTTCTTGTTACTGAACCAGTAAATCCCAACCTTTTTCTACTCAACAGTCCTAAGGGGTGTCACGCACTCAATATGACAGTGATTCTCAACTAGGAATCAGGGGAGGCTATGCCTGTGCTAAAAGAGTCACGTTAGTTGATTCTGCTGTGTGGCCTGATTGAGAAATACTGTATAAGAATAACACATAGTCATTGTTAACAAAAACAATGGGGGGGGGTTAAAAAGGGAAATGACTCATATTTTTACTTCCTAGAGATAATTAATACTAACCACAGTTTGATGTATATGTGCAGTCTTTTATATCTATATTAACTTTTTTTTCAAAAATTAGACCATACTGTAGATTGTTTTAAAATCTTTTTTATGTAGTTCATCACAAGCCTCTTTCCATTTCATTAGACAGCCTTCTGCATCATCATTTTATAGAGACTGCAGAATATTCCATTGTGTGGTACGTGTTTGAGTTCAAAATGTAAATGGTTTCATATACATTTGCAACCTCCAACAGTATTATTCTGGCATATGCATACATGATTGATTTGAAGGAATCCAAAGTTATTTAAAAGCTACTCCTTTTCTAGCTGTCATCTCCTATGTATTTGACTGTTAAATAATCATTTGTTAACTTTTTGTATTTATGTATTTGTTTTAATATTTCTTCATCTCTTTACTTTAGGGTGCAGTACTAGCAGCTGTGTCAAGTCACAAATTCAACTCATTTTATGGGGATCCCCCTGAAGAGTTGCCAGATTTCTCCGAAGACCCTACCTCCTCAGGTAACTGGATCATTCATTCACCATGTGAATCATCTGGTATCTACATCCTTTCTCCTCCATTTTGAATAGACCTTTTTCTGTGACTCTAGTCAACGCCTCCAAGGGGTGGTAAGGAAGTTTGTCAGCAACCAAATCCCGTCCACATGTGTCTGGTTCCTTTTAATTTTAATACCAAAGTTGCTCTCCCCTGCTGCTCCAAAACCAACATTTCACTTTTTTATTTTTACCTCAGAAATACTTCTTCCCTTTTTCCCACTTCATCCAGTTCAACATTGTAGTCGATTTTTTTGGATCTTTCTGATTACCTTCTGCCTCAACAAGAAGTTCTGATGTAAGATTTTCCCCACATCAACCATAGCAGAGCAGACTTTGGGACAACACTGCTTTTAATTGAATCTTTCCGTGTAAATCTTATGAGTTATCTCTTGAAACATTTACAAGTTCTCTTTTTATAAAGTCTATAATACATGTATACAAGCGTTCAAGGGAAAACATAGAAGAGTTACCTATATTGATTAAATGAATGTAGGTATTCCTGAAAAAACCCACCAGTGTTCACAAAATTATATTATAAAATGCTCAGATTTTCATCAGGTATTATTCACTAAAAATCCATAGGATCCATATATATGTATATGTAAATGCATGTATGTGTGTTACAGCTTTTTTAATGTATGTATTCCTTTATTAATTTAATTCCTGCATCATTTGTCCTCTGCCCTCCATTTTTCTTCTTTTATTAGAGCCCCCTCAGTATTTGCCATGTGGTTGACATGATGCTGTTGATTTGATTTTTGTACTCTTGGACTGGCTCATTCAATATTTATAGATTACCATTGGAATCCAGGCCCAGGCCCTTCCTAAAGCATGAGTTGTTTGTCCTTCACAATTAGCAATATAGAAAGAATGGATGTGCTAATGCTTCTTTCCTGTCGGTACCATGAGCATTTGTCAGTATTTATGCTTCTTCCTTCCTCTGTTTATACACGTATGTGCGCGTACACCTTCACATACACATGCACATATACAGAGAGAGTTTCTTACCAATTGGCCTGTGTTTATACCTTGTGCAAAATAACAGGATTAAGTTTTCCATTCCAGCAGCTATATAGTTCCTCATTCTGACCTTTACCAATTGGGATGTGACTCTTCCTCTTTTGAGTGAGGTGATTTCCAAAAACATTCAGAAATGGGAATCTTAGAGAAGAGACTCTGAGGATACCTCACTGTTTTCCTCTTGTTCTGACTTGGTAATCACCCCATGCCCTTACCACACGGAAGGCAAGACCACAGTTGTATTTATAGGTATGTTCCCCAGTGCTCCCTATTGTTTCGTGTCTTCCCTCCTGGTCATTTTGTTCCCTTCACCTGTAGCTTTTTGTTGTTGTTTTTAGCTAGGAACCTCTCTCTTCTCTCCTCATACTCAGATTACACTTGATGCTATCTAGGGACAGTGGTCCCAGTAATGGTTTTATGTTGTGCTGGGACTACATGATATAGTTGCATATTTGGAATATGTTTTAATATCATTTTCACTTTTAGAAATGGGCTTACAGAGCAGTATGGTCCTTGCAATAGCTTCACAGACCTGATCTGTAATGTTGCCCCTTAATATGTGCCTCTGCCTGGGAAGAGTTTAATGAGCTCTTAAGTGTTCCTTTCTGTGAAAAGTTGGGTTTTTCTTTTAGGGAAAGGAACTGTCTATAGTTATAGACATGCTTATTTTCTATTTAATACATTTTTATTGCCCAGTTTTTTCTGGGTTTTTTTTTAGTATAACTTCTAAATGATATGGCTGAAATAGTTTCTGATAACAGTACTTGCTTTTTAAACAAAAAAGTAAGAAATTTCTTACACTGGCTTACAGATAGCCTGAAAGCCCTCAAATTTGTGGTTCACAATTTCGCATTTCTTCTTCCCCTTCTTGAAGTCACACCCTATTTTTTTGTCTTTTAAAAAAATTTCTGGATCTTAATGATTTTGTAAGCAGCCTATATTTTCATTTGCTATGCTAAAGGTCTGTCTCTAAAATATTTTTAAATAGCACTGTCCCACTGCTACAAATAAAATATAGAAGAATTATTAGGCAGTGTATGTGTCTGATCACCTACCCTAAATAAAGAGGAAGTTTTTATATACTCAGAAGTCAAAGACGAAAGAAAATTTTGAATAAAATTCTAATATTTCCCTAACTTTCACATAGCTATCAGGAATTATTTGTATGTTCCTAAAATTAATTTTTAATTCCTAAGCCATTTAAAGGAAGACATTATAATATTTTATCAGCATAATTTATCAAATAGCTATCTGCCAGCAAGTTTCCTGTTCTGCAACCAACAGTAATGGTTGTATGGTTGGTTGCAAAAAGGCCTATTATGTATTTTATCTGGATTCACATAAGAACTTTATATTTTCATAAATTAACACATCTGTTTTTTTAATTTTTAATATTTTCATTAAATTTCAAACCTAAAGTCTTCTCTGTTTAATTCTAATCTTTAAATTCTGCATCATTTATTTTAAGTTCCCTACATTATCCTTGTCACTGTCTTCCTTTTGAAATTTGCATGGGTTTATTTTACAGTACAAAACACAAAGCACTTTTCATTATTACCCAAAAGTTCTTCCAAGCCCATGGCAAAAACAGAAAAATGATCATAGAGCATGTGCTTGTAGGGAGGGGGTGAGAGGGTATGGAAGGAGAGTTAGTTAGAGAGAGAACAGTATAAGGTCACCAACTACCCTTTTTTGAGATGGACTGTCTGTTTTTCATCTTTATATAATGCCTTTTCTATTCTCTCTATGAAATGATAATAAGTGGTAGGTAGTTAGATATTTTTAATGACCGTCTTTGACAAAACTAAAAGCTGACAATCCTATTTTGGTCCCCCCAAAATTCTATTTAAAATCACAATTTAAAAATGAATTTAAAACAAACCAGCTTCCTAATTTGTCATCTAAAGAAGAGTCTAACATGTTTAGGTATGCTGTTTACATTCTAAAACAATTTTTATATATGAGATTTTTTGCTTCTTTTGGATTTGATGCTTTTTATTTTATTTTTATTAAATTTATTGGGGTGACAATGGTTAATAAAATGACATAAGTTTCAAGTATACATTTCTATAATACATCATCTATCACATATGCATATCACATTGTGTGCTCACCACCCAGAGTCAGTTCTCCTTTCATCACCATATATTTGATTATTGCAATTAGTCTGTTATACATTCACTACAATTTGTTGAGTTTAATCTTATAATAAACAGTATATTGATGCTCTGTTACTTAATAATCCAAAGTAGAAATATTCTGTTCTCACATTTCAAATCAAAGAAGTCAGAATCAGAACCCAATGTTTTGACGACTGAAATCCTAAACAGTCCCAGTGAATGTGCTCATGGAACACAGGGGTCACTTTGGGCTCAGCTGGGGACCACGCTTCCTGGGCTCATCTACTGGGCCCAACTGTGGCTTGATAACCTGCTTGCTCTAAAATCATACTGTTTGTTGTTTGTCCATATGCTGCCTTCCTCCTAGGACTTCTAGCAGCAGAAAGTAGGTATCCCTTTGTTTTCCTCTAAGGTTTAATCTTTTATGCAGAAGTGTTTGGCTTTGCATGGTTTATAATCAGCTTGACTTTTTCCTTGGCTGTTTGTGTTTAGATGTTTAATTGTGAATTTTAACACTGCCTGATCATAAACTAAAAACTTAGATATGTTGATTTCCTGAAGCATTGTTATATAAATAATATTAACTTCTCACTTCTTTCATAAGAGGAAAAAGAGGCAGTGTTAAAATTTTAACTGTACTTAATATTATTTCACATCTGAATTTCAAGCACAAATACATTAATTCTGGGGAAAGGGTAACATTTTATTTTGTAGTTTGCTTTCAAGAAAACTTTCAGGGTAAGTGAATTTTCCTTTAACAATTACATAATCTATAAGCAGTTTTTATTACTCTCTGTTACTATTTTCAATTTTTTAATATGGAGCTATGAAATAAACTCCTGAATTCATGTCTCTTAAGTTTTACCATCAGAAATTAATTGATAAACAATAATGTAATGGCTAGATTTATATTACAAAGGGATGTAATTTGAATATGTGAGACTATAAAGTAAAAAGTATATTAGAAATTACACACACGTGCACAAATGAATACAAGCAAAACTAAGGCAATCTTACTCAGTATTCTCCAATGTCGGTGTTCTGGTTGTGGTATTATACTGTAGTTTTGTCAAATGTTACCAGTGGGGAAACTGAACACAGTATTCAAGGGATATAATCTCTGTATTATTTCCACAACTGCATATGAATCTATAATTATCTCAATAATAATTTTGATTAAAACAAAAGAATAAACTTTACCTTAACATCGTGCTTACTGGAGAAAAAGCATATAAGAGACAAAGATAAAGTAGAAAATCTGGAAGCTAATAATTGAATTCAATGTCACATTTTGTTGCTTTAATTACTTGTAGCTCAAATTGCAACCCATTTAATACAGTCATGCATGGATTAACAATGGGGATACGTTCTGAGAAATGTATCATTAGGCAATTTCATTGTTGTGCTAACATCATAGTTGCACCTACACAAACCTAGGTGATATAGCCGACTACTATAATAGTATGTGCTATACTTTTATGTGACTGGCAGCACAGTAAGTTTGTTTACACCAGCATCACTACAAACACGTGAGTAATGCGTTGCACTATGACATTATGACAGCTATGACGTCACTAGGCAATAGGAATATTTCAGCTCCATTATAATCTTATGGGACTACCATTGTATATATGGTCCGTCATTGACCAATACGTTAAGTAGCATACGACTGTATAAAAATCTCACAGTATATTAGTTATCTGCTGCTATGCAATGAATAACTGCAAAGCAGCATTTCTCATATCAGTTTCCATGGGTCAGGAATCTGGGCATGGCTGAGCTGAGTGCCTCTGGCTCAAGATCTTATGAGATTGTTAGTCAAGCCTTCGTCCAGAGCTGCGATCTCATGTGAAGGGCCAACTGCAGGGGGAGTCCCCTTCCACGCGCACTCACATGGCTGTTGACAGGCTTCAGATCCTCACTGGCTGTTGGACCTCTCCATAGGACTGGTCACAACACAGAAGCTTGCATCCCTCAGCATGCATGACCAGAGAAGGATGGCAAAAGTAAGAGAAAGAGGGCCCAAGACAGAAGCCACAGTCTATAACTGCATCTCAAAAGTGACATCGTACCCCTTCTGCCCTATTCTGTTCATTACAAGTGAGTTAGTAAGTCCAGCCCACACTCCAGGGAAGGGATTGATTATACAAGGGCGTGGATACCAGGAGGCAGGGATCTTGAGGGCCATCTTAGAGGCTGCCTACCACATACAAATTAATGACTGTTGAAGTGTAAGGCTCTTCCCATATGTAACTGCTTTTGTTCCTCCAGATTTAGCACCCCTGTCCTTTAAAAAAACAAAATCAACAGACCTATCATGTCATTTGGGAATGAAAGCATCTTGGAAGTAGCAGGTAGTGCTTTTCCTTAGTTGTAAAGCTTTCTTTGAATAGGCATTAACAACCAGCAGAATGTTATTTCAAGTATTTTCACAAATTTATGCCCAATAATGTTATTGTTTGGAAACATAGACTATTTTAACAAGCATAACAGTATTAGAATTATAGCATCTGTACTCTGACAGAATATATTTATGGAGTTTACTTCTTTTAACTAATAAATTTTTAGGTATCTGTACTATACTCTATACATAAAGAATCTAAAGCATTTATCACCATGTGTAAGTTTTCATAACCCCAATTAGATATAGCACAGCTGCTTAAATCCAAAATGCAATTTCCATTATAGGATTGCTTATAACTTGATTGATAACCAGAATTTGCTTTTTACAGTGGGAATAAAAGGTGTTGTCCAGGGGGTAGGGGAATAGGAAAGAGATTGATTGCAAAGAAATACGAGGGAGCTCTTTTTGAAGTAATGAAAATGTACTTAAATTGGGGAATTTTAACTTAATAAATTATACCTTTGTAAGCAGACTTTTTTAATGCTATTGTGATTGCAAAGAGGGGGCTTTGATTGAGTGGGTGATATGAATGTGTGTGTAGAGATTCAGTGTTGTATAAATAGGATTGCAAATATGGTAGGAAAGAGGTTACTAATAACCCTTCAGAAGAAGCTAGACTAGATTCAGATGCTGAATTTGCTCAGTGATATTAGCTTTTATAACTATACATATAATTTTTTATATCTTTATTACTTTATTACTGAAATAACTGCATACATAGGTGTGCAGTATATACATTTATCAAAACTCATTGAATGGTACACTTAAGATTTGTATATTTCACTCTACGTAAATTTTACCTGAGAGAGAGAAATATTAAAATCCATGCTAAAGTGTTTAGAGGTGAAGTGTACTGATGTTGCAAATGTCACAAACTGTTAACAATTGTAGAATCTAGGTGGTGAGTACAATTTTTTTCAACTTTATATGTGTAAAATTTTTCATAGTAAAACATAGAGGGAAATAGTTTTAAGATAGACCCACCCTACTTTGAGAACTTTTTTGTTTAAACATTCTACTATTTATTTTTCTTTCCTTCTTTCAGGTTATTTTTACTCAGTCAACTTTTTATGAGATTTTTTCACTCTTGAAATGAAATTCTTCTTGACTCAATGTTTTTATTGACCTTAAAAGCATATTCCTCGTCAAAGAAATAGACTCAGGAACAGTTTTAAAACATTTGACAGATTTATGCCTTTTTTGATTATTATTTCATAATAGCAGCAGACAGCTTTTGAGAAACTTGTTAGATTCTTAGAAAAAGTGGAAATTTTCAAAGTTAAAATGTTTGATTATCAACCTAATTTTTAGATACAAACTTATTACCAAATGAATCATGCAAAAATTAAAGTACTATTGTGAAGGGAAGGCTTGATTGCTTTCTAATAAATTTATCATTGTGAAAGTTTGGACCAAGGTCTAAGAAAATAAACCTTATATGGTAAACAAAATTGAGATTAAAGAGAGACTAGAAATTAGCTATCATCACATTGCCAAATGCAAATTATTCAGCTGCCTTGCTGAGGGTGAAACATGATTTCAGGAGGTGCCAGTCTAGAGTGGATTGTTAGAGACCTAGGTGCTAGGACTCACTCTTTTGCTCACTGCTGTGGCCCCAGGGTCATTTAACCCTACTGAGCCTCTGATTTTTCAAATATAAAAATACTTACTTACAGGACAGTGTTATTGCAAAATCACATAAGGTAATAAGTGTAAAAGTACTTTGGAAATTGTAAACTGTTATACCAATATGAGTATTAAAATAATTCTCACTGTGACTTTAAGGAAACAGTGCTATAAAATTAAATGTTTTCTGTGATTTTGTTATAATGCATTTATTTTCAATTTTTCAGAATTTGCTCAGGAAAAAAATCATTTTAATTGAACACGTTTTATTGTGTCTTTTTGTACAAAGCACTCTGCAAGTGAAGCCTGGAATGCAAATGTAAATAGGGTACATACAGTCCTGCCATTAAATAAATTGCCCTCTGAGGAGGTGAACTTGTACTCTTTATTTATTGATTTTCTTCAAGGCAGTTACAAGTTTATACAGCGGTCTTATGGAAAAAAACTTCCTATTCAGGTTTTGAGAAAAGTGAAGAGTTCTTTCAGATATGACAGTAACGATCAACAAAATAAATACTAGCAGCAGCTTAAGAGCGTGTGTGTGTGTGTGTGTGTGTGTGTGTGTGTTTTGTATTAATTATTACTACTGCCTCGGTGTTTAAAACAAATAGCAATGGGAAAGCCCCAGAAATGTCTTTGTATACATTTATATTTTATAATGAATTGGAAAAATTATGGGACTTTTAGATGGACTTGGTATTGAACTACAGATATCAGTTATACACACCTATCAGACTAAGAATGTATTCTGTGGTTCTGCTGGTCATGCCCAAAGAAAGAAAGAAAAGAACTAGAAGGGTGTCAGTGGAAAGTGTTAAAAATATCAAGAGTGAAGAAAGATTTTGGAGTTAGACCAAAAATATATGTTTATTCAATTGAAACGTCAAAGGAAAAATGGATTAAAAACTAATTTTCCTACCTAATTACAGAAATTTCAAATTAGGGGCACGTTTCAGAGTTCGCAATAGGCAACTTTAGTACAGCTATGGAAATGCTTCCTTTCGTGATTGGAAATTCACGAAGTTATTCACATTAGGGTACAAGATAAGACTATACATCAGTTCAGAAAAGGTAACAGATTCAAGGACGTTAAATAGAACTGTCCACCTGGTGGGTCTTGCCTCCTGGAAACACAGGCTAACAGATGCTTTTGTGCTTTCCAGCAAAGCATGCCCTGGGCCCGTACACGCAGATTAGACCCTAGGTGAAGGGGGTTGAATTCCTGCTCATCGATCTCTCTCAGGCTCTAGGCAGCCTTTTTCTGTGCCACTTTGTTTTTACCTCATCTATATCATTGACATCAGGGTATAAAATAGGGTGAGTACTTTACACAGCAGCCTGAGAGTCCCTTCCTCGAGGCCAGAGATCATACCTGTTTTCTCTGAAGCCCCTGCCTAGCATCTGGCAAAAAGTGGGAACAATCAATAAAGGTTTTGGTTATTGTCTGACCTGATAGGATTCAAGTTATTTTTTCACCTCCAAACCCATGCATAAACCACACATAGCTTCTTGTTGAAGGTTCCCCCTGTGTTTCCTGGGGAAATTACAATTAGTTAGTAAGTTAGAACATAGACTTTGGAGCCAGACACACTGGAGTTGAGTCCTGACTTCGCCACTTAGTGCTGTGACCTTTCTTAGCCTCTTCAAACCTCAGGTCCCTGTCTAGAAAGGTTGGGTAATGTATCTACCTTACTGCATTGTCCTAGGGATGTGCCTGGCACATAATAAACACTCAAGAATTGGGAGCTGCTGTTACTCCGATGTTTCTTTAGTACTGAATTAATTCAATAAATACCTTGTGGATGTTACAAAATGAGTCAAATAGAGACCTGCCTTAAGGACCTCACTGCACAGAAAAGAAGAATGAACAAGTGCACACGTAGGGTAACCCACGGAGTGTGTTGGTGGGACAGGAATTATGGAGCTTTGGGAGTTCACAAACCAACAAATGATACGTCCCTGGCCTGGTACAGCCCAAATTACTTCCCATCCTTCAAATGACAAAATTATAGAAATGGAAAACAGATTGGTGGTTGTTAGGGATTAGAAGGGGGTAGGGTAGTAGGAAAATGAGTGTGGCTCTAAAGGGGCTACAGGAAGGATCCTTGTGGTGATAGAAATATCCTGTAGCTTGACTTGTATCAGTGTCAGTATCCCGGTTGTGGTATTATATGACAGTTTCACAAGATGTTGCCTCACCATCGGGACAAATTGGGTGAAGGCACATGAGATCTCTTATGTATTCTTTCTTTTTTTTTAGCTGAGCCATCCTGCTACCTGTTGGCAGCTCAGGGTCAGCTCAGCTCGGGCCGGGAATCGAACCGCTAGTTGCTCAGAGCTCAAACTCTTGAGCGAGCTCTTAACCAACTGAGCCACTCAGCCAGCCCTTGTATTATTTCTTACAATTGCATGTGAATCTACAATGATCTCAAAACAAATAAAAAGTCAAAGTTTTTAAAAATTAGCCACAGTAATTCCCACATGAATAACCACTTGACGTGTGGCTTAAGCTCCAAATCATTAATATAATTAAATAATACTGCAAAAAAGCAGTTACTTATATAGCAACTTTTTTTTTCTAGTCTGGAAAACTTGGAACATATGGACAAGAACAAAATGAACTATAAATAAGAAAATAAAGATAACTCCTGTTACCCTTTTGGCGTATTTCATTCTGGTTTTTTTCTGAGTTTGTGCATGTATATTTTTTTCAATCATAATGGGGAATATATAGTTTACGTGGTTTTGTATTCTGCTTTCTTGAATTTTATATCATGGGGATTTTTCTGTGTCTTTAAAATGCTTTAAAAACAGTTTTCATTTGGCTATATATTCCATTATATGGATGTTCTATAATTTATGTGATCATTTTCTAATTATTGGCTATTTTTCCATTTTATATGATAAATATCCTTATAAATAAATATTTTTGTACATTTCCTATTTGTTTTCTTAAGGTGGGTTTTTGTAAATGGGATTTCTGAAAGTGCATGAGCATTTTTAAGGCTCTTGGGTGTATGTTACCAAATTGCTTTCTGAAACAGTGGTACTCGTTTACATTCTCACCAATAAGTGCATGCGAATGGATAAAGTCCAAGACCAGAAGTAATTAGAAGCAGCACAGAGTTCCAGAACAGAAAGATTCGAGATTTTTATCTTTACCTAAAGCAGGGTTTCTGTTGACATTTTGAGCTGCATAATTCTTTCTTGCGGGGAGGGAGCTGCTCTGGGCATTATAGGATGTTTAATATCATCCCAGGCCTCTACCCACTAGATGACAATAGCACAACCCGTTCCCCACCCCCACAACCACCACCACAGTTGTGACAACCAAAAATCTCTCTAGCTATTGGCAAATGTCCCCCCCTTGGGGGTGGAAAAATCACCTCTGGTTGAAAACTACTGATCCAAGACTTAAATGTGCAATGAGGCACTTATTGTTAGAATATTGTTAGTATAACATCGTGTATACAAGAGTCTGAAGCCTCGCCTCTCAGGGTTCTTTTCTTTCTCTGGAGTATGTATATACAAGTTGTCTGCAGAGTAAAATAGATTAATCGTTTCTTTAAGGCTGTATTAGTGACTTTGCTACTACTCACTATGTATCTTTCCCAGCTGATGCCTCTCGGGATTCCTGCTATAAAAGGAAATGTAGGCCATTTCAGCTCCTTCTTCTGCTCGGCCCGCTCCAAACTCTTTGCAGTGTACTTTCTCTTCTAATAACGGCCCTTGAGCCACCCTCTTCTGCTCGGGCCCGCTTCTATTTCTTTGAAGTGTACTATCTCTTCTAATAAACTGCTCTTTCACCACTTTAAAAGAAAAAGGAAATGTAAAGAAAGTGACCATACTACCATTTGCTTTGCCCTGCAAAATGATCTGCCCTAATATTTAATATGGTATTCGGAAGTGTCAGTCAGTGTACTTACCCTTGGTCTTTGTCTTCTGAATAAAAAAGGCCCAATGGACTGAGAACACTTGCTCCTCTTGACTTTGTATGCAAAGGAAGGAAAAAGAATGAACTAGGATATTTGTTAACTTAAGTTTGAGCCTTAAAAATCCCAAGAAGCCTTTTTTACACCACAGGAGCCCCCAGTTGAAGGTTTGTCCCTCGGGTCTACAGTTGGCTTTACCTTCAGTTCTTGATGGAATGCACATGTATGAAAGGTTCAACTGTGTTATTTCTGTAATATTTCAAAACGTCATGGGGTCATGGAACCTGCATTCTTCTGATGTGTATAACTTGCTGCACCCAGATTTCTAACTCAGTTAGAGTTGATGAATTTCCTTAATTCGCATAAGACAAGCTTCCATTTACTTTGAAAAGTGAGGAGCACACAATACATTATTAAGAATGTAAACTCACTGAAAATATCCTTCAGTGACATGAAACCCATTTAAGTCTATCCTTCACTAAAGACACTAACCTTTGAAGTTCTGTTTATCAGTCCATTGTTCTGAAGTGCAAGATTTAGGTTACAAGGGTTAGTTTGACATTGACTTTCTGTACTGGCTGTTTCTTTTCTGTTTGTTCCCCCTTAGGAGCAGTCTCACAGGTGCTAGACAGCCTGGAAGAAATTCACGCACTTACAGACTGCAGTGAAAAGGACTTAGATTTTCTACACAGTGTTTTCCAGGATCAGCATCTTCACACACTGCTAGATGTAAGTCTTTCTTTTCATTAATTTTTTGGTAAGATGAATATTTAGCATACCATTTTTACTTTATATGAATTTCCAGATGTCCATCATAACAGTCCTTTTTCATTCCGTTGCTTTAAGTCTGTGAGAAATGTGGGAAATCATCCATCACAGATTCATAATTGAAGTAAAGTACTATATTATATATAGCACAAATGCAGTACAGCCTAACAAGTCACAGTGAAAAAAATTATGTGTGTGTATGTGTGTATATCTCTATTAGAAGAATCCATTGATCGTAGCTGTGGTTACTTTTTACTGCTTTAAACATTGTTTTAAAATGCTACACTTCAAGCATGAATATAGGAGAGAGAAAAGAAAGTAAGATATTGTACAATGGACTGTATTCACACATTTCGTATTTAATATTGCCAGTTTTCATAGACTCAGTGTCTTCTTAAAGCATAAGAATATACTCCATCATTAAATATGACAGGCTCCATTGACAGCAGATTGAGATACAAAGAAAAATCAGAAGCTGACATTTCATATCTACCTTCATTTCAGTCACATTTAAGTAAAATGCCTTTCTTAGAGAACTTGGTTCACTTCAGCAGTGAAAACTTTCTTAGTATATATTAGTCTACTAGTACATATTAGTCTTTTTACAAGAAAAACCTTCCCTTAAGAGAATGATATTTGCTTTGGGGTGCCTGTAATTTTTGGTGCCAACTCTGACCAATCCACCATATGATGCAAATTAGAGTAAAATTTCCCAGAATGTATTTTACAGAATATTGCTATGGGAGATGGTGATGGGTGTTGACATGGGGGGAGAGTGTAGATCTTAAATTTATTGGTTAAATTATTTACTGACTAAATAAGTTTGGGAAATGCTACATTCTTTATTCCCTTTGTATAGATTTACAATGGATGCTAGTATATTAACACCCCAGATATGTCCTATGGCAAAGAAGCCCAATTAAGAGTCTTTTTTAAACTGATTTGGGCACAGAACTTATATTCACAGTCCTGTCGAATTAATGAGGACTAGTTTGGGAAAAACTAAGCTAAGAGTGTTGCATTATGTTTCAACTTTCTTCTAAGTGCAGTCATAGGTATCTAACCAACAATTGTTTCTTTCCATAAATTTGGTCAAATCAAGTTAATTATCAAATTTTTTAAATTAGTTTGGCTTTTTTATATTTTACTTCTTGCTCACATCACAGTCTAATGCAGGTGGATGAGGAAGGTCTCTTCCACATAGTCATTCATGGATCCAGGTATCTTCCACTGCCGTCCCCCAGGGCTTTGGAATCTTCCACTGCATTCTTTACACCCAGCCAGCTAATGAGAGAAAATGGAGACTTTTTCAGGGTCAAGGTTGGAAATGGGCTATATTACCTTTTCCCATATTCCATTGGCAAGTACTAGTTACATGCCTACCTAGCTGTAAGAGATCTGGGAAACATAGTTTTAAAATGTGCCAAGTAAAATAAGACATATAGAGAAAGACAAATACTGCATGGTATCACTTATATGTGGAATTTTTTTAAAAAATTGAACTCATGGAAACAGAGTACAATGGTAGAATGATGGTTGCCCCTGGCTGGGGCGTAGGGAAAATGGAGAAAAGTTGGTAAAAAGGTACAGACTTTCATTTGTAAGATGAATAAAGTCTGAAGATCTAAAGTAGAACACGTGACTATAGTTGACAATACTGTATTGTGTGATTGAAATTTGCTAAGAGAATAGACTTAAGTGTTCTCACAAAAAAAAATAAATAAGTATGTGAGGTGACGGATGTGTTAATTAACTTGATTTTGGAAATCCTCTTACAATTGTATTTGTCAATTATACCTCAATAAAGCTAAAAATGTGCTCAGGAAGATAAGGAAATGGCTCTTCTCTTTAGTGTCATTTATCTCAAGTAATTTAGGACATTTCAGATTAAGTTCATTTCAAATAACTGTTACTTTCCTTAGACACCAAAAGCCCTTGAAATTCATTCTATTTTGTGGATAGCTCCTAGCATTCCTCCTCCTCCTCTTCCTCCTTCTCCTCCATCATCATCATCATCATCATCATGGTTGTCATTGTTATGAGCTATTTGAAGTAAAGTTTAAGCTCTATTCATTGACTTTTTAAATATTGTTCTCTCTCATTGCTTCATACGATGCAGAAAGTTTTCCCAATTTTCAGTTTCCCACAGACGTCATACCCTGTCCTAGAACTAGTATGCAGGATATATGAAAGAAGCTGCAGCAGAGCGTGGAGATTTGGGTTATTTCAATGTAGTCGGTGGTTAGGTCTTTGCCAAGATTTACTGCTCTTTAGAGCAAGGACTTTTTGTCATTTAAAGGCCCAGAGAAGCCCAAATTGGATTTTGAAGTTGTGTTTTTCTTACTAACATAACAAGATATCTGAGCACCCCAAGCTTGAGACCACAGGGGAAATGCAAGAACATTGCTAGTTTTTACAAGGTGGGGCAGATGATCGGACACAGACAGGACTGTGGAGCTGAGCCAGGCCACCAGTTATTGCCCAATGCTGAACTTCTCCGACCTCACTGGAAATATTTACTTTGAATAACTGCTGAATTCTTGGGTAGACACTGTTAAAAGCTTTAGAAGAGACTCAGATTTTAGTGCGGAAACACATGTTTAAACTTCTTTTGGATGCTTATAAATTGTAAAGTTGTATCTGCAGGATCAGCATCTGTTCCTTGAAAAGGAGCTGGGAGACTGAAAATGAACTGTACCCAGTAAAATAACACCATGTCTGCAGGATTTGGCAGACAGGCATTGCACGGGAAACCCAGACCCCTCATGAAATGACTGACTATAAGGCCAGCCCTGGACAGGGTTGGGATGCTTTTGGTTCTGAAGAACCAAACTGAGCTGTACTTCAATAGAAGCTTAATCATGAATGACCTAAGCCATCATTAGAATAAGCCCTCATGACCAACAGCCCATAGATACAGTTCATTTAGCTCTTGTTGCAGAACTAACAGACTACATTATTATATTACCAATAATGTAATCAATGAAGTATTCAAGTGGTTACCATATAGAGAAATCTAGCCATTAAATTTTCTTCAATATTTAAATGCTTATGATATGCACAAAAAAGGAACGTGATATGGCCAACTCTTGAGAAGAAACTTTTCAAACTTTGACCATTCGTTTTTCTTCATTCTAATGTTCCATATCCCAAGCTTAGATTTGCATTTTTTGGGTTTTTGTTTCATTTTTAATTTTTACTAAATTTATGGGGTTGACATTGGTTAGTAAAATTACATAGGTTTTGGACTGGCTGAGTGGCGCGTTGGTTAAGAACTGGCTTGGGACGCCAGAGGGCCCCAGTTCAGATCCCACATGAGGGCCAGTGACACTGCCCTCTACAGCTAAGATGCTGAACAACAGCTCAACCTGGAGCTGGGTTGCCGTGAGTCGCCGGCTATGGCATAGGCTGCAGCCCCTGCTGCAGTGGGTTGCGATGGGCTACTGTGTGTAGCCAGCAGCCAGCGTGAGTGGCCAGCAGCCACAGTGAGCAGCCGTCCAGAAGCCGGTGACTGATGTGCCTCGCCCGGGAAGAGCGCAATGATGGAGCCAACTTGGACCAGTGAAGCAACGTCCTCCACAACTAGACTGAAGAACCAAAGGACACCAACTTGTCTATTCCCCTTCCCCCAATTCCCCAGCACTTTTCCCATCTCCCAATTCCCCAATAAAAAAATCTTTTAAAAAAAAATTTAAAAAAACAAATTACATAGGTTTCAAGTGTACAATTCTATAATACATCATCTATCTGTTGCATTGTGTGTTCACCACCTAAAGTCAATGCTCCTTTCATCACCATATATTTGACCCCCTTTACCCTCTTCTACACGCCCCATACCCCCTTTCCCTCTGGTAACCACTGATTGTTTTGTTTTACAGAATCAACGTTGGTTCTTTTTTTAAGGATCCCAAGTAGTGACACCTAGTGGCACAGCTTTGTGGACCATGGATTGATTGTTACTTAATCCCACTGAGCAATGTTATGAAATATCTTTATTTTATTTAAGTAATTCCCATTAATTCAATAATACTCTAAATAGCTAAGTTTGAAGCCATAATTTTTAAACTGACAAAAAGAAATAGAATTACGTGCCTATGGAAGACTAAAAGTTCATCCAGTACTTCATTTTTTCTAATGATACCTTTAAAACAGTAACAAGCTCAAAAATCAAAGAAACGTTAGCATTTGTTTGGAGGAAACAAAACATCTGTCAGGTTGAAAGAATTTACAGTAAAACAAAAGGAGAAATACTGTGGTTCCACTGGGGGGAAATGCTTCCTGATGTAAATTCTAGTAAAATATACCTAGTTTAATCTGTAGCTAGAAATAGATCCAGAATCTCTAAATATTTGCTACCCAACCAGTTCCACCTGGCACACACATGCTGCTTCTCATTTTGTGGGAAGAAATAGTTGCTTGAGGAGGAGCTGTGCTTGGCCCAGCTTATTCCAGTATGTCTACTTTCAGAAATGAAAAGTGCTGTGCAGAGATGGTCTGTGTATAAGGATCAATTCTTGTATGATAAAATTTGGTATGTGTATGTATTCATTTGTTAAAGCTGCCATAACAAACTACCCCAAACTGGGAGGCTTAAAATAGCAGAAATTATTCTCTCACAGTTCTGCAGGCCAGAAACCCTAAATGAAGGTGCCCACGTAAGGCCATGCTCTCTCCAAAGCCTCCAGGGAAGAATCCTTCCTTGCCTCTTACAGCTCCTGGTAGTTGCCAGCACTCCTTGGCGTTCCTTGGCTTGTCAGTGCATCACTCCAATCTCTATCTCCATCTTCACATGGAGTTCTCCTCTGTATGTGTGACTTTGTGTCTACACATTCCTTTTTTTTTCTTTTTTTTTAATGTGTATACATTTTTTTTACTTTTTTTTTTGGGGGGGGGGGGGAGGAAACAGTGTGTTTTTCCAGGACCCATCAGCACCAAGTCAAGTAGTTGTTTCAATCTAGTTG